ACGAAGAATTTGATAGAGATTTGTTGTTGCTGCACGAAACAATGGCAATACAGAGGTTGGTTGAAAAGTTTCCGCTCTCAACAAGAAATAGCACTACTAGCTCCAATTTTTGTTTTTCTCAAGTTGGTACATTTGTTGTGAGAACGCATACAAAGTTACAAGTCATTCTGTCAATTAATTCTTTGTTTACAAGCCATTTGAAGTTGATGTGTCAGCGTATTTTTTCAATATGGAAAACATTTAATATTGCGCAGTGTTTAAGTTCTTTGTTTTGAAAGGTTTAAAAGTATAGGAAATTTATGAACAATTGTTAGTGTATAAGGAGTCCTCACTTTAAGAATGCAGTGTTGAATTTTGGGCTGGCGAATTTAAACGCGGTCGTACTTGGCTTGAAGACGGTCCACGCGAAGGACGACCAAAAACCGCAACCGCACCAGAAATCATTGAGCAAGTTCATAATATTGTTAGTGAAGACACAAGTTTGACTAAGCGTGAAATTGCTAATGCCAAAGGTATCTCAGACGAATTAGTACTTCATATTCTACATTGAGTATTTTTCAGAAAAAGCTGTTTGAAAAGTTAGTGCCGCACACGTTAACAATTCAACAAAAACTGAATCGAAAACAAATTTCTCAGCATAATTTGGAGCGTTTTAAGCAGAATAAAATCGATTTCTTGCGTCATTTTATAACTATGGATGAAGGTCTTGGATCTACCACCATGATCATAAATTGAAACAAGAACGTTGACAGTGGACTGAAGCTGGTTGTTCAGCTCCAAAGCAGGTGAAGTCATAACGATCAGCAAAGATGGTTATACAAGGTACAATTCAAAAGTTCCAGGACTTTTTAAACAACGCGGCTGCTAGTTGCGCCATCTGTCTGAAATTGTTATCCCTCAATTGTGTTTTCTTCAGTGTTGTCGTATAAAATTTATATAACAGCTGAGATATCGCGCTACATGTGACATTACATTTGTAGTGTCGGTCGGAAAATGAGCTTCGAACAAAGAGCCAACATTAAATTTTGTTTTAAAATTGGTAAAACTTTAACCGAAACGTTTCAATTGATGAAAAAAGTTTATGGCGATGATTGCCTATCCCGTAGCAGAGTGCATGAGTGGTTTCAACGTTTTCAAAGTGGTCGTGAGGAAATAAATGAGAAATGAGCCGAAACCCAAAAAATCGCGCCTGGAGAAGTCAAAAGTGAAGACAATGCTGATTTGTTTTTATGATTCCAAGGGTATTTTCCACAAATAATTTGTTCCACCCGGCCAAAACGTTAATGCGGTATTCTTCTTTGGAGTTTTGAAGCGGTTGATGCGCCGTATTCGACGTGTTCGGCCCGAATATCGCGATAATGCGCCGTCTTATCGATCGACGCATGCAGCCGATTATTTGACCAAAAATCACATTTTAACAATCAACCACTACCCGTATTCACCTGATATGGCACCTTGCGATTTTTATTTGTTCGGAAAACTACATTTGGCCATGAAAGGAAACCGCTATGCTGACGTTGATGCCATCCTCAACGCTATACCGACAAATGACCTAAAAAAGTCATTCTATAATCTTTTTGAACGCGCAAAACGTTGTATTCAGACGAAAAGAGATTATTTTGAAGGCGACCAATAAATTTTTCAAAAAAAAAAAACACAAATAATATTCGTTTTTTAATAAAAGTCCTGAAACTTTTGAATTGCACCTTGTAGCATTAGTTGTTTGGGATGCACAATTAATTTTGTTGATTGATTATCTGCAGAAAGACAAAACAATCAACTCTGAATATTATTGCAGTCTTTTGGATCAGCTGGATGAAAAAATTTGTGAGAAAAGACCTGGTTTTCAGCACAATCATTTTTCATCAAGACAATGCAACTGCTCACAAAGGTGTTTTAAAAATGACAAAATTCAACGAATTAAAGTACGAACAGCTACTACCTCTTCAGAAACCTGAAACAAAACCTTCGTGGAAAGCGTTTTTCGTCCCATGAAGAAGCTATTACAGCCATAGACAGGTATTTTGTAGAGCTTCCGGAAAGTTATTATAAGGATGGCATAAAATAATTTGAGGATCATTGAAATAAATGTGTTAAAGTTAAGCGAGGTTATATTGAATAAAAAATATATTTCGTCTCAAAAACAGTATTTTCCATTTCGAGCGCAGAAACTTTTCAGCACACCTGTTGTATGTTTCTTTTAGCCAGATTTGTGCACTTTTCAGGTTATTTTCCGAATTTCTTATTAGTCAAACTAGCTTCTTTTGTTATGTGCATTACAGGCAGCGCGTGTTATAGCACGTTGCTGATAATGAAAGATATATGTTTGTAAAGTCTGTTAATTATTTGTCTCAGCTGAAAAGTAGGAAATATCAATTTACTTTAATTACCTCTATAGTCAAAATTGTAGCAATTATACACGCATTGTAGATATGCCCGTGCAGTCAACAGTACGCGCATAATGGGTGTGAAAGTATTTACTGAGTCTCTGAGAGCGCTGGTGCATTCATTAATACTTTCCATTACTGCTGTTCTCGCTTATATGTGCTGCTTAAGTTATTAATGCTTATTTGTTGTTGTTTTTTTCTGTTGGCTTATTTGCAGAAAACCGTTGTATCGAACTGCATTCGCCGGACGGCGTGCACTCGTGCATCCTGCGCGCCACCGACTCAGCGGAGGCGCTGATCTGGTTCAATGCGTTGCACTCGGCGATGTGTGGCAGCACTCAGCGCGCGCTCACCGATGCCAATCGCGCGCTGATGAATGTCATCGGAGAGCTGAAGCACATTGGCTGGCTTAGCAGGCGTTTGAGCGGCGGCAGCACTAGTGGCGGCGTCGGCGGTGGCAGCTCTGGCAGTGGTGGCGGTGGTGGCGGCAGCAGCGCCAACGCAATTGGCGGCGCAGGCGATTTGGTAAGTGGCCAACGAAAGTCTGGCGTACTCAGTGCCGTAAGTAGATTTAAGCGTTTGATTTTCTTTATCTGTCATTGCAACGCCTTCACTTTCGTATTTTGCTTTCCTTTCATTGCTTTCCGTTTTCCAATCATTCTCGGCGCATTACCATTGAATTTTTAATGAATTCATTTTATTTACAATTCTTTTCCGGTATGCTACGCTTTTTTTGTTGGTTCGTTTGCTGACCTTGTAAATGTGCGACATGCAATGATGACCGTACGTATTGTGCCACAGCCAAGCGGACGTTCCAGCTCGGAGAGTTCCGATGAAAACGACAAATGGCAACCGATTTTTGTTGCAGTCACTGAGCGCGAGTTCAGGTAAGTGATTGCTCTTGCAGGCGTGTGTAATCAACGCGTTGCCACATACTTTTAAATAACACACTTTATCTGGATTATTGGCAGATTTGGCAATATCGACGCGTCACTGCTGAAACAGCAACAAGAAAACACTATACATATATATATATATATATTTATTATTTGGTTTTAATCGTTGCATGTGTATGTATGCATTATAACGTGTGCACTCAACTGTAGTTCAAGTAATCCGTGAGATTACCTTCGAGTGTGGTACTTGAGAGTGTTTACTTATATTGAGCACGTCGCCAGCAGCTGAGGCGAAATACGTGGGTATACCATAAAAAATCTAAGAGACATTTGTCTACCTTTACCATATGCTTATGTAACTGACTTTGTGTAATCTGTATTTGCCAACTGTATTTGCAAATGGAAGTTAATAATATGCTCCGTTGCACTGTTTGCCAAAGGTGGGGCGAAATCTCATAAAGTAAAAGAGTTTCGCATTATGGATTACAAGAACATTTTTCAGTGGCATTTCTAAAGAAATACTCGCACAGATCTACAGCAATTTCTCAAGCGCAGCTTGTCTGCCTCTAGCCGCCTTCCCAGGTGTTCACTTAAACGCTTCTCGAGCTCATCAAAAAATAAAATAAAATTCACGAGTGAAAATGTTGGTGCCTTGCTTTGTCATAGCGACACTGTTCCTGGTATAAAGAGATAAGAAAGTGAATTGTGGCAGGTGAGCGTTGAGTGCCACATTAGTTGATGGATTATTGTAATCACGGCATATATTTACTATTGTGTGGCTGAATATTCTTGCGATTTCACTCTACTTTAATGCCGCATAACATACAATTATTTGTATATATATAATATATATTCCAATACTGCACATGCGTTCACGTGACTGCAGTTATGTGGCTCACGGTTAAACTGTGTAAGTAATGCGTGACGCGTTTGCTCCAAGTGCATTTTACTGTGAAAATATACGCCAACCGTTTTTTTTTTGGATTAGTTTACGCAGCAAACTTAAGACAGTGTGTCTAAAAGCCGCTTTGTATAGAAAATATTTCTGACATTTAATGTCAATCTCTCACAGCAAAATATTCGCTATTTGCGTAAAAATGCAACTCTGTTGCCGACCACTGAACCATTCATATAATTAGCTTTTCTTTATCTGTTTCTATCCGCCTAGTAAACCTCGTATAATTTTCACGACGAAAATGTGCGATTCCCAAATTAACTGTTTTTATCTGTAATCCTGCCGAGAAAGTCTTACAAATGAGTTATTGATCAAGAGTTTCGTGGTAACCCGGCTGCAACAACTCTGAGCTAAGCAAAAAATAGTGTAGAAATATGACGAAAACTGCAAAAAATAAGACTGCTTTAACAAACCTGGACTTATAGCATATGTGGCAATGTCCCTGTATGGTTTCATCATACTCGTTCCTGCTCCTGAAAGCTTTCTGTTGCCAAATTATGAAAGCTACGTTTGCTGTTTCTATATATGTCAGTTTATATTCTTTTTACTACTTATACTTGTATTTTCATTGTCAGAAATGCAGAATTATTATAATTTTTTATTTCATAAGCAAAGTATTCCTTGTGTCCATACAAAAAGCTTAAAACTCTGCAATCTACCGCTCCAATTTGTTATGCGAAATATGTAAATTCGTTTCGATTCGCTCCTGTGACTATGTGCAGCGCAGCTTTGCCATTATGTACACAGTTAATCACAAGCGATTTGCCGGTCACTCATGTTCATTGTTATTACTGTGTAGGGATGCTTTGCATTTGTTTACTCACAAATGCGTTCGAACACACGTCACTCCTTTCATGCGGCTCATTTATTATTGTTTGAATTTGTTTCAGTTTTTTTATTTAATTTTTTATTCACTTTTCGTGTTTTATTTTGCACATTTTTTACTTTGTGGCAACATTGCGCAATATTACATCATCAATCAATGACAAACGACTTGGTAACCCTTTTTTTTGCAGCTTTTGTTCCTTACAAGTTTTGACTTAACTGCGCTGACCGCGGCCAGCTGGGAGTGAAACGATTCATATGCTGGTATAGCGAACGGTCAACTGGTTATGAAAGCAGAGCGGGTGTGAACGGCGTGTGAGAGCGAAACGGAGCGCAGATATAATTTATAAGTGGGGTTACTCAGCAAAACATTACTGATGGGATTTGTGTGGTACAACGGGTTTTAATTGGATTGAGTTACTCGTATAACAAAGCGTAAAGAGCAGGGAAAATGTTTGATTAAAATGCCAATGAGCTTACCGTTTTGTACGGTTAGAAGAACAGAAAGTAGTGTAAAATACTATCGAAATCCGCGCTTCAAAGCTTGTAATAAGAGAAGCTTTAAAATCTTGGAATTCACTAAAAAGTTTTTAAGTAATCTGAGTTCTCAAAGCAATGCTGTAAGAAATTTAAAAAGTAGCCACTTCTTGGCCGTTGGCATTCAAGTGGAGGTGCTCTTCCGACGTCACCCGAATGTTGTAGCTTTCTACTGTTTGCATTTAAAGCATCTAGCTGGCACTGTATTTGCGCGTAGCAGGTGAACAACAGGAGGTTATATTCGGTGTGTGCGTGTGTGGTGTGAGGGGGTTTATGAACGCGTACTGTCTCCGCTTGTTTTCCGTTTCCACGCGGCGCCCAAAGACCCGCCTCTGCGGCGATTGCAATTTCCTGCAAATTTTCGCTTTGTGTATTTTCTGTGACTCTGCAGCAAATATTTCCATTGTTCCTCCTTCGCTTTTTGTATGCTAGTTTGTTTGCTTGCCTCGGTTGCAATTATTGCAATATAGCAACATTGCTTGCAAAGGATATAAAAATAATAACAACAATCATGACAACGTAGTAGCAGCTGCACAATGCAACGGAAGTAGTGTCTGTTGGCACTGCACAATGAGAAGCAGCAGCAAAAGTAGGGGTAGAAGAAGAAGGGTACTCTGTGTAGACCGGGTGGTGGGGGAGGAATGTGCTAGTTGACGGAGCAAAAGTCAAGTGCCACGCAACACAATTTCCGCAAATTATATCCGAAATTGTTCAGAACTGTGGTCACCTACATACACACAAAGCTGCCAGCTGTTGCCTTTTGACAGCAATATGAACATGTGGCACACATATACTCCAACACATATACATATATAGAACTATGTACATAAAATAGTGTAGTGTATAAACATCGCATGGAACCTTCGTTGAGGGACCAAAACTTACACAGCAAATATGTATATATTTCAGTGGAGTCAAATTCGTATTTAAATAAGTATATACGTATGTGGAGTCTTAACTTAACATAAAGTTAGTTAAGGCCACTTATATGTAGTTGTTAATCATCATTTTTATATAAAAGTGTTTTAATTTTTCTCTTATATTTTTTGTGTGTTTTAATCTCTATATATTTCGAAAATGTTATCATCTTTACCTACTCATAAACGCTGCCTTTATTTAGGCATCAATTCTATTCTAAATGTTATCGTTTCTTTATCGGTATCTGTATTTTCATCACATCTTTAGTTAACGGTTTCTGGTTTAATCCAAATAACCGATCGGGTTATTGTTTGGTGGGGTAAAATGTTCCTTATCAGATCAATGATCTCTCGTTTACTTTTAACGAGTTAAGAAACCCCACCTAAGGTTATTGACTCTTTTGTTTATCCTTAGCGAAGTCAATTACATTTGGTGAGATCAATTACCCTTTGTTTACATTTAACGAAGTCAACTACCTGAGTGCAATGACCCTTTTATTTACCTTTAGCTAATTCAACAACCCGAGGTCAATGACCCTTTTGCTTATTTTTAGCCAAGTCAACAAGGGCAATGACCCTTTTCTTTACCATTAGCCAAGTCAACGACCTTTAGTAAGATCAATGACCCTTTGTTTGCCTTTAGCTTAATTTTGGTGAGGTCAATGACTCTTTTATGTACCTTTAGTAAAGTCCACAACCTGAGATTAGTGACCCTTTTGTTTAAAATTGCCTAAGGTCATTGATTCTTTGATTTTTTGTTTGAAGCTGTGAAGCCCATGTAACCTCTTAAGGCGGGAAACCAGTTTAGAAGATTCAAAAAAATAAATTTTTTTTGTTGCATAAATTGTTAGTACAACTATTTGAGAATATGTTGCTTAAGTTTCAAAACGAAATTCCAATTAGTTTCGATAATATGAGCACTAAGGTAAACACCGGTCGATTCAGTGCCGAGGCGCTTACATAAATATATAAATACTCATATTAATAATTTGGTCTCCATACATATGCACATTTTCCGAACATTACATTTACTTTGAGGGTGAAGGTGCAAGTTGTGAAAAGCTAGTTAGTGGCAGACGAGCTCTAAGTAAAAAGAATATTCAAAAAAAAAAAAAAAAAATGAACTGTAAACTGATTTTGAATGACATAGTGCATAAAAATATTGGAATTCTTCTGATCTGTCAACATAGTTGACACCAAAGGACGTTCTGCAATGCATTTCCATACAGCCACACATGCCAAATGATATCCAAATGAGAGTTTATTTGTATGTGTGGGTGTTCGCTTGATGTTGCAGCTATAAAGCAATACACACACACTCTTACAAAAAAAAAAGAAAAAAAATATTGAAGAATGGAGCGAGCTGTCACTTGTCCAACTCACAAAGCCAAATAAAGCTATCTGCTAGCGCTGTGAGTATTTGCAGCGTTTCACTGCTACACACACAACTTGCAATACTTGCTTGTAGGCATGTGTGTGTGTGTGTGTATGTCGCTTGAATGCTGCACGCTAACTGTGTCAGCAAGCTGTTGCTTGTCAGCCGCCAGAGGATGTTCGAAGCCATTCGGGCATTTGGCATTTGCAGGAAATTAGTAAACCGAAATGAAATGAATTCGCCAAGTAAGAGAGTGCGAGCAGATATAGTTCGATGTGAATTTGCATACCTGTATTTCGGTATGTTTATCTTACGGAAATTTAGAATATTTTGGCAAATTGCAAAATTGCAAACGGAAATTGTCGGTTGCTATTTTTCAGTATGAGTTTTGCTTTTCTTTTGAATGTATATGTAAATATTTGTGATTCGATGAGTTCGAATACTTGTGTCGTTTTCTATTTCGTTGGTTGTGAAATGGGTTTGATGTGAATATGAAAATTGCAGTGTTGCCTGTGATAAGCGGATTGTTATGTTCGCATCTATAAATATTAACTTGACGCATACAAGAAAAAACACGTATCAGCTGTAAGTTAAGTCAATAGCGGTGTATTTTGATCATTACTTGGACTTCTTTTTCTTTTATCTTTCCGCTGTCGATATCTAGTTGGATAGCTTACTGTGTACTTAGTAAGGCACTGTGATCTTTGTTCTTCACTGCTTCCACTATAGATCCAATTAGAAAATTGTGGGAACTGGGCTATATATTTTATTAACAGTTTGCCAAATAGTTTACCAGTGTTAACTTTTTGCTTTCTATGTTGAATTGAACGCATGATCGGCATTGTAAAATTTCGATAAAATTCGCCAACGTTTAAAATATTGGAATTTTTTTCCTAGAACTGGAATTCTAGTCAGATATTTTTAGTACATAGATACGCTTACAAAGCCAGTGTTGCGAGAGTGGCAAAAAAGAAGCGAATAAATACTGATTGGAACAAATTCGCAATACAATTACATAAATAAATCAAAGTGCAAAACAAACTAAACAAATTGAATTAAAAAGAAAACAAACAAACAACAAAGCTGCAAATAAATGAATAAATAAATAAAGTGAATAGCGAAAAGCCACAAAATTTTCAAGCGAACGGCAAAAGCCCAAAATTGGAAACAATTTGCCAAAACAAAGAACCGCATAGAACAGTGGCGTCGCGCCTAAAAGTGTGCTACATAAATGGGCAAGATTTCTCTTAGCCTTCGTACGCTTGCGAAAAATATATGTATTTAAAAGCAATAGTTGCCATATTCTAGCTAAAACTGTGTGTGAAACTCCTCTGACTGCAATAGTTATACTCTATGTAAGCATATTGAAGCTTGGTTTGTCCATTTGAGTCCGCTTTGCTAAGCGCCTACGCTCACTGCACGGCACTGCACTGTTGCTATTTGCAAATGTTTTGCAGCAAACAAAGTTGAAATATCGGCACTTGCACTTTACGCCCGAGCAATAATTTACACATCGGTCGCAACTCCACACCAGCCACCCGCGGCATGCAAAAAAATATGCTTGAATTCGTTTTTTTTTTCATTTTTGTGTCTATTTTTTACATTGCGGCGCAAAAATATTTTCTGTATTTAGTTGTTGTTGTGGCATTTTGGTTTTTTGTTTTCCAATGCATAGCTTTAGTTGGAGCGCCCTTCATTTGCTGCGCTGCAGTTGCGCCTTTCGTTGGCGGCCGAATTGGTGCGCCAATAAAATGACATACCAATATACACACTATATATGTATATAGGTTGGTTGAGAAGTGAGTAGTGCTCACGAAGAAATAGCACTACTAGCTTCAAATTTTCTTTTTTCAAATTGGTACATCTGTCGTGAGAGCGCATGTCAAGTTACAAGTCATTCTGTCAAATAATTCTTTGTTTACAAGGCATTTGAAGTTGACGTCTCAGCGTATTATTTCAATATGGAAAACATTGAATATCGCGCAGTGATTAGATTCTTTGTTTTGAAAGGTCTAAAAGCAAAGCAAATTTATGAACATTTGTTAAAAGCGTATAAAGAGTGCTCACCTTCAAAACGCATCATTGAATTTTGGGCTGGTGAATTTAAGCGTGATCGTATTAGGTTTGAAGACGATCCACGCGAAGGACGACCAATAACGGCAAACACACCAGAAATCATTGAGTAATTTCAGAATATTGTTAGTGATGATCCAAGCTTGACTAAGCGGGAAATTGCTAATGCCATAGGCATCTCAGATTAACGAGTACTTCATATTTTAAATGGAGAATTATACTTGTATATTATATATGAAAAAGCTGTTTGGAGAGTTAGTGCCGCACACGTTAACAATTCAACAAAAACTGAATCGGAAACAAATTTCTCAGCATAATTTGAAGCGTTTTAAGCAGCTTAAAACCGATTTCTTGCGTCATTTTATAACTATGGATGAAGGTCTTGGGCCTATCACCATGATCCTAAATTAAAACAAAAACGTTGACAGTGGACTGAAGCTGGTTGTTCAGCTCCAAAGCAGGGGAAGTCACAACGATCAGCAAAGAAGGTTATAGTTTTTTGGGATGCAAAAGGAATTTTGTTGATTGATTATCTGCGAAAAGGTAAAACAGTCAACTCTGAATATTTTTGCAGCCTTTTGGATCAGTTGGATGAACAAATTTGTGAGAAAAGACCTGGTTTGCAGAACAAAAAAATAATTTTTCATCAAGACAATGCAACTTCTCACAAAGCTGTTTTAACAATGACAAAGTTCAACGAATTAAAGTACGAATTGCTTCAGCATCCACCGTATTCACCAGATTTGGCTTCCAGCGACTACTAGCTCTTCAGAAATCTGAAAAAATTCCTTCGTGAAAAGCGTTTTTCATCGCATGAAAAAGCTATGACAGCCATAGACGGGTATTTTGCAGAGCTTACGGAAAGTCATTATAAGGATGGCATAAAATTATCAGAGGATCATTGGAATAAGTGTATTGAAGTTAAGCGAGATTATAGTGAATAAAAAATATATTTCGTCTCAAAAACAGTATTTTTTCATTTCGAGCGCGGAAGCTTTTCAACCAACCGGTATAGGAAGGAATATGCGTGTGTTTGGGCGCACGCTATTTTTTCACTAATGCTGCGCCTAACCGGTGCTGGTAGGAGTAGAGGCGCGCGCGAGGCATTAACTAGTCAATGGGCTGCATATTTGCCGAAATCTCTTCGATATGCAACGAGTAGGTGGCACCAATGGGCACGTGCGCACGCTTTGGTTTGCTTTTTCGGTGAGATGCGAAGCTTTGCAAAAGTGGGCACCAAATCGGCGAAAAATAATGTTTTTATTTTATTTATTCTTTGTTTGTTAGTAGTTTTACAAGCGCCATTGTGTAGCGATAATCACTCACACATACACAAAACACAAACACAATGTGGGCGTATTTGCAGTGTTTGCCTTTGTGCATCCTGTACATTCGTGAGAGTGTATGTATGTTATGGAGGAACACGTTGTGGTCTGGCACTTCCTTGCAAGTGTTATGGGTTTTTGTGTTTCGGCCAATCCTTTTGTGCCAGCTTCACATTTATCTTCTATTAAAACTATTTTTAGTACAAATTTTCCGCAGATTTTTGAAATTGTTACCAAAACTTCCACACCAGCAGCCATTAGCGTTCGCACTACTACACACACACATACACTAAGTTTCAATATGCACAACCATACACACGCGTTGGTCAAACTACGGCTTCATTGTTTGTTTTAATTATTATTCTCCTTCTTTTACCGAATTTTTTTCAGCTTGTTGTAGTGGGTACAACAATTTACCGCAACCCTTGAAATCACACTATTTTTCACATTAGTTTGTCTTGCTCATTCTTTTAATTGCTTCTTTACTCGATTTTTGTTTATTTTTACAGAATTTACGAGTCCGCTCCTTGGTCAGTGGAGGCATGGGGACGTCCGTTGGAGAGCTTCGCATTGGCAACGACAAGACTGGCTGGCGCTGGCAATAATTCATCTTTGAACGTAAGTGTTGCAATTTATGCTCTTGTACTGGACGAGAGCTTTGCTCTGTTTGCTTTTGTTTTTTATCTTTCTGATTTTTGTTTTTTTGCGCGGTGGCTTGTGCGCAAATAGATCTTTCGAAAGCGATAAATCCTAGTAAACAGCATATGCTGTGAGCAAACAGAGTATAAAGGTTTTAAACGGACACCACAAAAATGCAAGTGAGGTATAGCGGAGAATGCGCTATTGTCGTAATTCTATGGGATTTCGCTTGAAACTGTAGGAATTGGAGAAATTCCAACTGCTAAGCTGTGAAAGGATTTGAGTTGAAAATTAGATCTCTAACTCAACTGTTATTTCTGCAACGCTCTTTTAATTAAATTAAACTAAAAATTATTTCACTTAAGCCTTAAGCGGTTACATGGGTTTCGTCGAGCAAAAACGCCCTATTTTCTATATTTTTTTTTTTATAAAAAATGAAATACAATATTTTAATCGAGCTTTTTATTATTACGAAGATACATATTTGATAAAGATTTTGTGAAATTTTGAAAGGTATATATACAAAACTAGGTCATTACGACGTCATTTCCGGGAGTCGCTCGAAAAAAAAGGCAGAATTTCTGACAGAATCATCAAAAGTAAAAAGAAAAAAATATGTGTTTGCACTAAGACCATTAACTAGGTATTGGGATGACAAAAAACAAATAAAGAGAAAATTGTATCTCCAAAACTATAACTGGGATCAACTGTAGAGTTTATGGTAATATTCTAGAGTTGTAATAGAATTAAATAAGACTATAATTTTTTTTGTTTTTTTGAAGTCGTGAAATCCTTAAGAGCATTTCAATTTAGAACACATAAATATTTCTTCGATTTTTGCCTGGCTTCGACGGTGTCGAATAACGAAAGATCTCATTGAATTTACAACAATTTTGTTCAACACTTATTTGCAAAAATTGTCGTTTATTTTTCAGGGTCAACAGACGACGGTGTTTTGCGTGCGCTGCGGCACCAACCGCGGCGTTCTGGTCTATTGGCTGCGCTCGGAGACGCATCGCGATATGGCTGCGTGGGCGCGTGCACTGGTGCAGGGCTCACACAACGCCGTCAACTATCAGCGTGAGTTCTCATTCCGCTGCCTCTACCAGGGCAGACAGTGTCAATTGGTTGTGCATTTGAATCGTGGCTTTTGCCTATACGACTGCAGCGGGTTTTCAGCGGCGGCGGCGGCGGGTGTCGTAGTGCCGCCCAATCAGACCAAAACTCAGTTGTGGCAATTTCCGTTCGACAAATTGAAGGGCTCAGCGGACGACGGCATACGCATGTTGTTCTTGGATTTTGGCGATGATGGCGAAATTGTAAGTATTATATTTCTTTCTATAAAATTTCGAAGACAAGCGAAATTCGCTAGTACTTTTGCTTGGCGTGCGAAGTGTAATTAAGCAATTATGTATATTCGCAGCGAAATTAGCGTTTACGTTGCATTTTCCTGCAAATTGTCTGCTGCTTGTTGGTCGGTAATTCAAGTTAATTAAATTAAATAACTTTCATTTCATTTATGTCTGATTTCCTGCTACTGAATTTCGCATTCCGCGCCACCAGCCGTGGCGGTCTCTGCATCTTAATAATATTTCCTTTTTTCATTTCGCGCCTTCCGCCTTTTATTGCTCAACAAAGTGAAACGCATTAAGTTTTCAATTAAAATATCACACGGTGCGCCCAACGGTACCAGACGCCAGCCAACTGTAAGCAGGGCTGTCAACTGTCATCGCCAGCAACACAGGCAGAGCAGCCTTAGTCACGATGTTGGCAGTCTGCTGCTTGCCGGTGTTTCTGCACATCGCATCAACATATCGTTGGCCGTCGCGTATGACATGATGACCCGACTGCGTGTTCTCTCTTTTCCACTGCTGCTTGGTCGTTGGCACACCTTTGTGCACGTCAATGTCATAATCAATGAATGGCTTCTTTCTTCGACACCGCTACACTCCTTCAGCCCTACGCAGTTGACAGCCTTCCGTCACTTAAGTCACTGTGCAAGTAGCAGCCAGAGGGCTCTTCACTTGATCGCCTTTGCTAACGTTGCAATTAATTTTAAATCGGCCTTCACTTCGTTTCGTGTCGGCGTTTCACCCCATCGCCCGTTGTGGCGCCGCACATCAGCTCAAACTAGTACAGCTGCTGTTTCTTCTGCTTTAGTCAGCGGTGGACGAAGTGTGAAGAACGTGGAAAGTGTTGCTGCCGCTACATTTTGTAGCACGTTGTCAACTGTAATTAAACTAATTTTTTCACCAACACCTTACTCGGCTTAACCTTCGCTTGCCTTGTGCACCTTCTTCGTGTGGCATGTTTCTGCCACCGCATACTCATGTCTTGGAAGTATGTGTGTTTATATGTGGTTATTGCTTGGATTTCAATTTGTTTTGTTGCATTTACTTAATCTTCTCTCCGAATTTGGCTTAATTGAATCTACCGTTTTGTTGCAAGTGTCGACTTTCTTGACCCAGTTCAATGCGGCATATTTATGAATTGTTGGCTTTGTGCGCGTTTCGAGATCTTATATAGATTATCTTGCAAATAACTGTATTTACTTTCGCAATTGAGTCATTAAATTATGCGGCCTGCAGTAGTTTTTCAATGTGCACGTCTAGAGTCCAGCATATATCTCTGAGCTAATGTTAGCCTAGGCAGTATGATTACTTATACCATGCCAATTAACGATTCGTCTCTTGAAGCAAACCAATCAGACACACAATTTTCGACTTCTGCGTAGGAATCGAAGTGCTGCTCAGCCAATGTGTGTGCCATCGATGACAACAAATGGTAATCGGAAGCTGCCAAGTCTGTTGAATACGGCGAGTGGGGTAGCAGCTCCCAGCCAAGTACTTTGATTGTATCCTGAAACGATTTTGCTTTCTGCGTTCAGTTTGTTCAGTTTAGTTTGTATGACAGCTATATGCTATAGTAATCTGATCTGAACAATTTCGGAGATTGCGACACTGCTTTAAATAATAATCCATGCCAAATTTCGTGAAGATATCTCGTCAACTAAAAGAGTTTTCCATACAAGCACTTGATTCCGATCGTTCAGTTTGTATGGCAGCTATATGCTGTAAACTAAGGCACTTCATACTCACCGGTACACCTTGTAGATTAATTCGGTTTAGGCAACGCTAATCAGGGTGATGCGAAAGTAACTCGAATAAATCATAAAAATCCACCATTTTTTTATTCTATTTAAATTGAAATATGTATTTTTGCACAACTAAACTATGAGGAAACACTGAAACCACTTATTGCAGGAACTGGATATGGAATGCTGTCCCAAGCCGGTGGTCTTTGTGGTGCACAACTGCCTTTCGGCGAAGGTACACTCGATTACCTAAGAGGAGCAAGCGGAACCTGTAGTGCAGCGAACAGTTTGAACGTCTGACATAGCAAGAAATACTTTGAAAAAGCGACGTAGCCGCACAAGTGGCGAGAAGAAGTATCGTAGTAAAAATTTTTGTAATTTCATACCAAACGTTGATGAGTGAATACATTTGAAAAAAATAACAAAAAATCAAGATTATACACTGTGCAACATGTTGCGCGGTTATAATAATGCAATATATCAAATTTACTTAGCAATTAATAATAACGTAATTATACTTAATAAAATTGTGGTAAGAATAAGTAGATTTGTATAGCATATGTTAAACCGTTGTTGAAGGCTGCGCGAAAGTCAAGTGATCAGCTTTTGAGAGCGTGTGTGCTTCCTTATTTTGTATAAGGTGGAAAACTAGTCTACAGTATACTTCAAAATACTCATTTCATTATGTAAAAATGTATTTATTAGTACAGTTATACATACATATATATGTATGTGTTATATTTAAATGTATACACACACACTCCACAATATTTCCAACTTTAAGCTGTTTCCATGCGGCACTTTGCAACAATATTTTTCACACCGAAATTACAATTTCCAAGCCTACAGGGTTGCATATTTATTTAGTTAAATTGTGGAATTTGAAATTAAAACGCACAAAATCGTGTGAAAGTGTTTAAATTTTAGATTTAAAAAGTAAGTCGAAAAAACTGTCTGTATGTTTGAAAAAAAAAACAAAAAACAAATTCAAATGAAATGTGTAAAAAAATAATTCTTTCTTAAATTTGCATAATTAAATTGCACTTTCGCCTAATATTTAATTAACAAATACAAACAGGCCAAAGCCAACGAGAGCACATGTTATACACACATACATATATACATACATACAAACGTTTATAAATACATACACAACAAACATAAGGTGAAGCGAGATTTGCAAATGCAAATTAACAATGCAATATTTATTTATTTGTATGTTTGTACATACTTGGAATACAATGCCGAACAAAAGAACCGAGGATAATAATTAAATTTAACAGATAAATAAATAAAACGTAGCACATTTAAATTTACTGCATACAATTTACAAAAACTATGGAAATCAGCAATTACCGTTAGAAAAAAAAAAAAAAAAAACAGAAACATATCTCGGTCAGCTACAGCTGCATCTGCATACATAGACTTAATAATATTAATTAAAATTGTTAATATCAAGCGCGGAAATCAAATGAAAATAACGCTAACGGTAAGTGAGCGGAGTAGAATATTTGGAATACATTTTTCTTTAATTGTAAGTTTCCCTATACACATTTGACTCGTATTTATGTGCATATGTATGAAAGATGAACAAAACCTAACGTTTGCCACATAAATACCAACTAACTGAATTAAAAAATAAAATAAAAAAAATAAAAATAATAATAATAATTAAAAAGTACGAACCACGCCCCTAAAAAAACAAAAACAATTTTTTTCTTAAAAAAAGAAAACAAAAAAAACACAACAACGCAATAGCTGTGGCGTCAAGTCAACATTCGACTCCGTGTTGCAAGCAAGCAAAAGCAGCAAGCGGCAAAGCACAAAACCAAAAACAAATAAAAAAAAACATGAAAAAGAATCATGTAACAAAATGTAATGTAAGTAGAGTTGGTAATTATGGAATTGGAAAATTCAAAAATTTAACAAACATTGTGTGTGCGCTAGCAATAGTCTAATGAGCAAAAACAAAACAAAAAAAAAAAAACTCAAGTAATATCTAATGGCAAAAATTAAGTAAATACTATTAATAATACTGACAATTATTATGCCAGCAATTAGAGCAAGGCGTGAGCGTAAAAACGACATTTTGTGCAATATTATATCTCTCCCTATGAAATGATAGAATCATATACAATAAACAATTATGATGCGAATTAAAAACTGGAAAAGTAAGTAAAGTTGTTTTATTTTTATTTGGTTTGATTTAAATTATTTCAATTTCAGCATTTAGATCAAAATTAAACGCTTTTAAAGCGTTCAACAGCGCTGTAACGAAAAACGTCGCGCTTTACACGGCGCAGTCGCTGTCGGCACGCGTCGTCGTCGGCTTTTGTGCTGAAAAATCACACTTTCGTCACACGAAATGCAGCAGGCGCCCAGCATGCGTCAGCAGGTTGCGCTGTTACAACAAAAATGTTATATGAATAACATGCCATATAAATGTTATGAACACTGTTAACATTACTGCTACGGTTAATGTTAGCAATACTGCTTGTGTTAATAGATAACACATTAACAGCATTTGAGTTCATTTACAGCAGTATGCTGTGCAAATGCAGCGTCTACATATAAATTTAGTTAATTTAATGTTTGTTTTAACAACTCAATTGAAGTGGAGAAATGTATTTACAAACAAATAATACACACAGTTTAAATTTTGTAATATTATATATTTAAACTTTATATTAAGATATATATTTTATTAAGATTTTACGGTAAACATATGATTTAAACACTAGTAAAAATTAGGAAAGAGCGGTCTAAAAATGCTAGTCTTGGTAACCATGCCTGATTTCATCATCCCAGTGCAACGTTTTGGAGAAACAGTTCGTTGTTCACAGTAACGACTCTTCAAGAACCAAGAGTAACGAAATATTTATTAAACTACAATATAAAATTGCTGGAAAGTATACAAAAATATTGATTTTAATTTAGTAATTTGTTCGTACTTCTGCCTCATTTTAGTTCTATTAGTTATTCAGGGGTGTTGTAGAATCTGATAGTTGTTGGAAACAGCATTGAAACCGATAGATAAAAAAATGTAGTAGGTGTCATGAATTCAGATATTATTGGTTTGACGTTCGAAACAGCAATTGTAACGGTTTTGGCTGTCACGGAAACCAAGTTTTATCGGGTTTGTTATCAGAAACAAAGCAACAGGATTTTCGATGACAGATTTAGAATGTAAGTTAAGAAAATAATTCATAGTATTGTTACGATTTAACTTATCGGTATATCTATAGGGGAAAACAATGGAATAAAACACAAAATGTCATAATTTTTGAGTTTATGGAAAAAATCCAGGTTTTTTATAGAATTTACAAAACATAATTTAACATCCAAATGCGTCTTCATTCAGTTGATAATGTGATATAAATCTGTAAAGTAAGCATGTATACAAACATACTAGTGAATGCAAGCCAAATTTCACATGCGATTTTCTGGTGCATCAATGGATTACTGTTATCTTTTAATACTTTTATTTTAATTTTTTCGTTGCTTTTTTCTTCCAATAAAATTAAAGCTAAAATAGCGGAACTCATTGTAAATTTAAGTAGATTTTGTTCGGTATTTTATCGAATGCTCTCACATTTATTAATTTGCAAGTTTTGTCACATTAGTAAACAGCTGATTCGAATATTGGTTTTGCATATGTTCGAAAAGTCTTAAATCTAATCAGATTCTGTGACAACATTGAAAATCAAAATGGGTTTGCAATTGTGACAACTACGCAAATCTGTCTTTGATTCCACCACACCCCTGATTATACCAGAGAACGTTGTTCTAAGTTCTCTGATTATACTACTAAAAACTCCTTTGAGTTATGGCGGTGTACTTTCAAAAGCTTCGACATCTTTGCAACTTATCCGCCCATTTATGAGTCAACATGCGTTCGAAGGGTTTATGTCTGGTTTAAGCGTCACTCTGGTGCTTCTTTAGCGAGTTTTCGCTTTCACAATAGCACACATTTCTCCGCACCTCAGTCGCGCAAACGCTGCAATAACAATGCATATAGCTATGCCATGGCTGTCAGACCGAATTCTACTCAAAACATTCAAAATTTTATAATTAAAATAGCATTTTCTCAACATACACACAACTCGGAGCCATTATACTACAGTACACGCGCGCGCTGCCTATTCCATTTGACATCCGCTTTACATAAAATTTACTTGACGAATTTTCGGCTTTTCAGACAGACAGCAAGGCAATTGCAAATACTGTCAGACTGAAACTCTAACTTCGTCTGCTCTTACTTGCCTGTGACTTGCAAATCAGTGTAAGTAAACACTGCTGACGGTGTCAGACAAAAATTTTAAAATTAATGCAGCTCTTGGATTCCAAACTCGCGTCACAGCGCACTCATCTCATGCAAATCGGCAGCAACAACAACCAGTGTTCACAATGTCTGCGCCCGTCTGCTGTTTGCAGGCGAAATCTTCACCGTCGGATGTTTACTTTTTAAAATAATTTTTTAAATAAATTAAATTATAAATTTTATTTAACAGGCAAACAGCAAATGACTGCCAGCGGCCATCGAGCACTGCGTATGGTAAGCACTCGTGCGCTGTGAACCGCAAGTACAAGTTAAAGCGCTCTGCAAATAACTTTTTAAAGCAATGACGCGACGTCACGAAGGCGACAGCGCGTAGCGGTTCAAAAGCCAAGGCGAGCGTTAATGGAAATGTTGATGTGCACGTGTTGCTTGGTGTTGTTGTTGTGTTGGTCAGACAAGGCACGCGTCGCAAGCCTATACACATACATCGTTGAGCGCCGGTCAACTGAAATGGGTGAGCGCAAGTGAAATTATGTGAGTGCGGACAGAGTAAAAACAAAGCAACAAATATGTGCGTGCGCGTGTGCGTGTGTATGTGTTTTGAGCGTGAAATGCAAACGAGCGACAAGGTCGAATGAATGACTTGAGGAACGCCGCATAAGCAAGGGAAATCGAAGACGAAATTTCGGCAGCCATACAGAGAAAACTGCACAGAGTCGGTGTGAGAGCGCAGAAACACAATGGTATAAGTTAATTTGATGAGACTTTGTGTATGTAGTGTAATTCTTCTTTTAATATTTATTCAAATTGTGTAAGTTCTACTTTTATTTGCACTAATTTTTGACTGCGCCATATTTTCAACTTTACATTGCGTTGCTCATTTTCTTTATATGTGTATGTATGTATGTAAATAAGCTTGTATATTTATGAGTATACGTGCATCCACTTGTGACCATACAAGTATTTCCCATGCTGATCGCAGTTTATCAAACACTTGTTTTTGTTTGCGCCCATCGTTCACTGCTCTTCGCCGCTCTGTCACTTCATCCGCTCTCTTAACGATTGCTGATAAGGTTTTCGTTTTCGTGTGTGATTTCGACATTTTAAGTACAACACACGGAACTGGACGTCATAAAACATGTGCACAATAATGGTTGTTTTTGCTTTCCGCGTGTTTGCGCGTAAAGCTTTAAAGTTTTTACATATTCTGTTTTGTGTATTATTATATTGCTGGCATTTGTTTTTGCTTTTTCTTTTAGTCACTCTCACTACTTTGCATTGCTGCGGACCTGTTACTTAAAACAGTTTAAGAGTGACTTGTGAAAAAAGTGAGAGTGATGTGATGACAGTCAGTTACCATATGTCTAACTAACTGGTGGACTGACAAACTACGCTATCAATACTTCGGCAAGCTAATGACAGTCGCTATATATTATATATAATAAATATTGCGAAGTGTTGAAAATGAAAAAAAAAAAAAAAATTAGTTTTGAAAAATCGTAGAGCAAACAACTGCGAACATATACATATAAGTAGTTGTATTCCAATGGGCAATAATCGGTATATGGATTACACTTTTGTCTTGGATTCTAAAAAAGACGCTATGAGTTTAAGCTTTTATGTGACTAAGTTTGCAAGGTAACCTTTGTGACTAGAAGCTCTATACTGTGAGCGTCAAAAATAATTGAACACCAGTTCTACCAAAGTTAAAGTTGTTATTACAATGCAGTCTTTAATACAAAAATAAGAAGTTTTGTTAGGTCACCAAACGTGTTTTTAAAAAATCGATTGTGGCACGCGCTGTGTGACATGTTGCGCCGTCTTGTTGGAACTACAGCTTCTGTACATCATGGTTGTTCAATTCAGGAATGAAAAAGTTAGTAATCATGGCTCTATACCGATCACCATTGACTGTAACGTTCTGGCCATCAAATTTGAAGAAGTACGGACCAATGATTCCACCAGCCCATAAAGCGCACCATACAGTCAGTTTTTCTGGATGTAACGGTGTTTCGACATACACATGAGGATTAGCTTCACTCCAAATGCGGCAGTTTTGTTTGTTGACGTAGCCATTCACCAAAGGTGCGCTTCATAGCTAAAAAAAATTGTTGACGATAGAATGAACGTAGTGTGCGATACGTATTCCGCACAGAACCATTATTTTCGAAATAAAATTGCACTATTTGCAAGCGTTGTTCAGGCGTGAGTCTATTAATGATGAATTGAACAGTAATGCCAACTTAAAGTTCTAGACCTCGAAAAACACCCGTTATAAATAATAAACAAAAACTAAACGCAGTCAAAAATAATTCGCTTCAACTAAAAATCCACTCGTTTTTTCGCGTCAATAAAAAAGTCAACAGATTTCAACAAAGTTAAAATCTATTTACATAAACTAAATTAATATTCATGATATTATCATTAAATAATTTTCCTGCCTTTGGACTTCAGGACCACACTTAAGCTTTTAGACATGGATTTAAAAAATTTTTTTTTGGTAATCTGCAGAGATTTTGCGCCATTCTTTTATCCAGATTCTTTTTCGATCATCCCTCCTTGAAATATTACTCTGCCTGATTTTTCGGTCAAGATGCGCCCAGAAATGCTTGATATTATTAAGATCTGGATAGTGCAGAGAGTGAATCAGAGTTTTTATCGTTCGTTATAACAGTCACTCACTAACAATTTTGGACATGTGTTTGGTATCGTTGTCCTGTTGAAAGTTTCATTTCGCTGGTAGTCCTAATTTTTCAATACTTAAACAAACCAATTTTTTATCGCGAACTCAATGAAATTACCACAGCAGATGCTGTGATACAGCCCCAAACCATAATTGACCCTCAACCGTGCTTTACGGAAGGGCAAATAGAGATTTCCAGCACAAATGAGATTGTCTTTTTTTTTATTAAATAAATAAAGCAAATGGAAAACGCCAATAAAAAGTAAGCTTACAGAATGTTTTATGCGTTAGAGGCAAATTTTTAAACTTAGTGGCAAAAATAAAAATATTTGTTGAAGATGAATTGGTTTGGCGCTGTATGCAATATATTTTTTGTATGTATATATTTTCCAAAAGAATGCAATTCCGAAAACGTGCAAAAAATTTTACTCAATTGTTGAACTTTAAATATAACTTTATTTATTCTTTATTTCATTATGTTGCTCTTCTTCTTTGAGTTAGAATTGCAAAGCAAATATGATTTTTAATTGTGTCACAGAATCTGATAGGATTTTCGTATTTTCGAACACGTAAAACCAATCTTCGAATCAGCTGTTTGCTAATGTGTTAAAACTTGCAAATGAATAAATTTGGAGCATTTGTTAAAATACTGAATAAGGTATACTTAAGTTTACAATGAGTTCCGCTATTTTAGCTTTTATTTTATTGGAAAAGAAAGCAACAAAAAAATTTAAAGAAAGGTATTAAAAGATCACAGTAGTCCATTGATGCACCAGAAAATCTCATGTGAAATTTGGCTTGCATTCACTAGTATGTATGTATACATGCTTACTTAACAAATTTATATCACATTATCAACTGAATGAAGACGCATTTGGATGTTAAATTACGTTTTGTAAATCCTATAAAAAAACCTGGATTTTTTCCATAAACTCAAAAATTATGACATTTTGTGTTTTATTCTTTTGTTTTCCCCTATAGATATACCAAAAAATAAAATTGTAACAATACTATAAATTATTTCTTAACTTACATATCAAAACTGTCATCGAAAATCCAACACCCCTGATAATTATTAACTAGTGTGTTCTCGCAACAATTGATTGATGCCAGCCGAAAGTTGAAATATAAAACCAGCTGTCTCTTATTTATTTCGCATTGTAATAAAATACCGCTTCTTGCAAAAATGTTGTTTAAGCGAATCACCGCGTTTACATCTATCAATACCCCGATTTTATAGCTTGCCGACCTCACCACCTCAGAAGTTATGCTTTACGCTCTCAGATTTTCATGTCAAAAATGTCATTAAGAATTATCGGTATCATAAGTTTGAAAATCTAGCTATTTCTTCATATAAAAACAGTTACTTAAAGACTATTCTACAATAGCAAATTTAAAACTCACACAATTTACGCCAAACTCTGCGGTCTGCCTCATCCGCTGCTCGCACGTAGATAATTTCGCAGTCATCCACAACCGTTGTACTTCATCACTCGTCCATGAATAAATCTTTGCTGCTCCAACTTGAATCCAACATTTTTTATGTTTCTCGTTATCCCCGAACATTAAGCGTAAGTATTGCAGATTCTTTTGTTTTCAGGCGAAAACTTGACGAGCGGCGCCGACGTAGCGGAGGCAAGGAAAAATTGCGAATTTCCACTTTATCGATGCATTAAAGTTTTATTACATTAGAACTGCGAAAAAAACACAGAGAAAAAGTGTAGAATCGTTAGCAGATAAAACTATGCAAAAACAAAAGGAGCAAAACAACAAAAAAAAAACAAGAAAGCAAACAAAGAACTAGTGAAAATCCATTAAATCGTCAATGGGGAAAATGCAAAACTATCGAATAGCAAAAATACAGGCATTCTAAAATAAGAAGAAATCAGCGCCAAAATGAAGGAACAAATCAAAGTATTCTAATTTATAAAAGTGGAAAAGGCTAAAATGGACAAGAAGAAAGTTGCCGAAGAAATATTGTTGGAGAAATGGAAAAAAATGCACATAAAGGAATGCAATGCCAAAAACCAAAGGGAACAATGCACTTATAGCAACAACATACCCATCTTCAGCTAGCGAGCGAGCAAGAAAATGGCAGCGGTAGAGTTTTGCGAAAGAGTCGAAAGTTTAACGCTCGATTGCATACGGCAGCCCACAGGACCTCACCAAGTTTAGATCCACCACAGACAGCAAAGCGTTGGACATTTACCGGTGAGTGCTTATATATACCAAACAGTGTCTGTGTATGTATGGAAAAGTGAATGCATGAATGAAAACCGTTATATATAGTATATGTAAGGTTGTGTATGTATGTAAAAAGCATGAAAGAGTCCACTTTAACCGAGTTTAGAACGCCTAGCTGGTGAACATTTGAATGTGCGCAACAACTCCGAGGGTGTTGAAGTGGTCCACTTCCGCAGACCCTGTTCAGTTGATTGCACAGCTGAAAAGTGAGGAGTCAATGCTGCACATACTGTGAGCGACAAGCTGTTAGCGGGCGAGCGGGCGAGCGGGCGGTGGCAAGTGCATGGAGTTGCAAATAACGAGAGCTTAGTGAGCTGATATTACGATGAAGCGATGACAACAAATCGGTCAACTGGCATTAATGCGACGGGCAATCCGAAAAATACAAAAAGCAAGCTAACGAAAAAAAGTCCCAAAGTCGGTTGTTAGGGCTGTGGCGGTGGAACTGACGAATACGGGTCGATAGAAAGTTGGCTAGCTTGCAAATACTGCATAAAAAAGCAAACAAAACAAAGAGCGCAAATAAAACCTCACACACGTAAGTTAGTGTCAAATGATGCCGAGCGCTACTGTTGCTGCTGGACTATTGCCGGTGGGTGGCGGGCTTAGTAACGGTACCTGCGAGTTGATCTCCCACAGCGACACACATAAAACCCAAATGAAATGGAAAGAAGTGACGCGGAAATGAATTTGAATTGCATTTGGGTCGGGTGGAGGCAGACCACCAGAGTTGCAACTAGTACTTGGATAATTTAGATTTTTTATTGCCATATCGAGCAGATGGACGGAAAATGTGAAATGCATTTTAAACGACTTTATTTATTTATGGCATGCTAATATTTTAAGGCAATTTCATATTACTTTAACGCTTTTAAGTGCTGGGATTTAAATTATTTTTCTTTGTTGAATCTCAAAATATTTTTTTAACGACTTTAAATTATTTTTTTGTTAATCTCAAAATATTTTTGTAACGACTTAAATTTTTTTTTTGTTGAATTTCAAAATATTTTTGTAACGACTTTATATTATTTTTTTGTTGAATCTCAAAATACTTTTATAACGATTTTTAATTATATATTTCATTGTTGAATCTAAAAATACTTTTGTAACGACTTTAAATTAATATTTTTTTTTGTG